TTATAAGTGGCAGAGAATTGTAGGAACTGAGGCGTTATGAGGTTACTATAAAGCTTCCCACATGTTCCACAACTTGCAGATTCATTAGACCTCATTATTTTTACCCACATTTTTCATTTCTTTCCTTCTGGCAGAAAGAGATTACATGCTGGAGCACCCAAGGGAATTGATTTGGGGTGCCCAAATTTCAAGAGTGATTCTTCTGTTCCTAGTAGTCTGTTGCTATAAAAATCCACTGGAGTCGATTTGTGGGCCTCCATACTAAAATGACTAAGAAGATAAGAAAGCTTCTTTATTTTCCTGCTTTGACGCACAAGATTCGTGTCTGTGGCACCATGAACACTTTTGAGCAGAATGTGAGACTCTGGGTTCCTTGTGATTAGGTGGATTTAATGCATGCTCTGCAGTAGCAGCAATTCCTGGGGGTGGTTTTTTCTTTTCTTTCTTTTTTTTCTTTCCCCTCTGGAATCATAGTTAGGCTCAGTCTGTAATGTAAGAAGGAAGATTTGAATGATTCTCAATTGGAGGAATCTTCAGTGGGTCACTTTTGCTGCCAGTGAGTATTGGGTCTGCCTCTGCACCATTCTGTAAAGCGGCTGGAACAGTCACCATACTGGATTTGCAGCCTCTGTTATTCAAAGAGAGGAAATTTTCAGATGAGTGTAGATAAATTTTCCTATTCACTGAAAGAAATAATGCAAATCAGAATGTCAGTTTTGATTTATTATATTCCTAGAGGATGGTGTGCATGGGTGCTTTTCTTATGAGGCTGTCTGCTGCAGAGAGATTTAATTTTCAGCAGGGAACTTATTATGCAGCTTATTTGATTGCAAATTTGTTTAAACAGCTTTCAGCTTTATATTTCTCAGGTAATGTACCTTTAGATACTAATTGTGTAATTGGCTTGTTGTGGGTCATACAGATTTAAGGTACAGTATGCCTGGTCTGACTGCTTGTTAGCTGTAAGTGGCATTATATAATAGCTGCCCCAGAGCTGAATTTAACACTTTCATTTATTGGATTCTCTTCTGAATAATCTTTTTCTAGGGATGAAGGATTTTCTTGGTAATGGCTACCTTCATGAATACAGTTTTGATACTGGAGCATGCATGTTTTGCGGGCTGGTGTAAGTTCTGGCTAATACACCGGTGTGATAAAATAAAATGATCATAAAATCTGTAGAATGAGTGCATGGCACAGACAGCATCTTCTTTACCTGTTTGTATGGTTGTTTTGTTTTCCTCTCGGGGATGGTGGGAGAGATTTTCCATTCACTGTCCGGTTTGAAATTATTGGATTTAACACTTAAGAATCTTTCTTTCTTCCCCGCATTTCACAGGCCTAAAAGATGCCACAGGCTCTGAGAGCGACGGAGGTGACTCTTGCAGCACAAAATCTGAAGGAGCCAACGGAGGCACCACAATCCAACCCAAAAAGGTCAAGGGTGTTGGCTTCGGAGATATCTTCAAGGACAAACCTATAAAGCTACGACCAAGGTCAATAGAAGTTGACAATGACTTTCTCCCAGTAGATAAGGTTTGTATCATTTCTTAAATCTCTTTTGGTGTTGGTTTAAATAATATTTCCCCCTGAAGTTCTAAATTTGATCATTGGCAAAAACTTGGAGATTTATGGTTGTGATTTCCTATTCTCTGTGTACAACACTGTTCTGTACAAAACGAGACTGTGGGGTGTTTTTTTTGCCAAACACCAGAAAGTAAAATCCAGTGAGGTTGGCTGTCTGCTAGAATTGTGACTTTCCTTAAAGGTTTCTTCCTACATTCATACTTCCATCTGTTGGTTGGGGTTTTTTCTAAGCAAATACTCATTTGGAGTACAAGACTTGAGAGGCCTTTTCAGGTCTGCAGTTACTCACATTACTATAAGAAGTAATAGCTAGTTGTGTAAATTAAGAGGGGATTACAGTCACTGTGCCATCTGCCTGCTAAAAAGGAAACTTTCAGAAAATACCTCAACACCTCAAGTCAGTAGCAGGTTTGTTGATTTAAGAAGATGCTTTAAAAAAATATCCAGCTTTGTGTAAAGGGCTCTGTAAAAGGGAAAGCATATGTTATGTAATTTAATTCCATATGACCTAAAAAGAAAGTCCTGATATTGACACCTGGCCAAAAAAAAAAAAAAATTTTTTTTCTTTTTTTTTTGTATGACAGATTCCAATAAATCATCTTAGAGAGCATGATTTTTCCTCCAGCCTCCAAAACAGTCTTTTTGTGTAAAATGTGGTCTTTCTGGTAAACTGGAAGATAATAACTTTTTAAAAATATATATTGATCTTTCTAGGGTATGTTCATTAGAGAGATGACTCCCAAAAATGCATTGTTTCCTAATAAGATTTCCTAATCAAAAAGAAAGGTTGTCAAATCCTCCTCTTGTCTTTAAGCAAAGAATGAGATTTTTCTAGGGTTAATGGTGTTCTGAGGCATGGGGCACCGTGCTGGGAGACTTGCACAACCCATGATTCTGTTTCGGACACAGTTAAATGATACATTTGTCTCAAAGGTGATTTTTAAGAGGCTTCTGAGCAGCTGTGGTTGTTCCCTAGTGTGGCAGCTTCTCACCTCTTGAGTTGAGCTGAGTTGAGTTGAGTTGAATTGAGCTGTGCAGTTGTCTTCAGCTCCAGATGCTTCTGCAAGGGGCCCTCAAAGCTTTGGGGTTTTAAGCTAGGTCATTTCACTGACCTGATTTGTAGCACAACCTCCCTCCCTAGTGTGAGTTATAATAGTACAGCAGAAAGCAAGATGCTGCTGAGATACAGTGGAAACTTCTTAAGCTAGTTATACTCTGGGAAAGATGTCTAGTATTTTATTGCAATTTGGATTCTGAATTAATAGGGTAGTGGAAAGCTGGGATAATCTGAGTATTTGAGTATAGGAAAAACTTAGATTATTTTATGGCCGGCCTGTTGCTGGCTTCTTCCAAGCCTGCATGGTGCTCAGCTGACCTTCTCTTTTTGGGTGGCCTGATTGCTAACTCATGTGCAGGGCTTGGGTGATGTATTTCTACACGGAAGCAGGCTGACCTGTGCTCAGAGGGCCCCTCATCCAAGCCGCCCCCTCACCGAGAGGCAGGAGGGCAGCACCAGCCCAGCTCTGGTAGTGCTCGCTTGTGCGCTGCCCCTGAGCCAGCCTCTGGGGCCCTGGCAGCGGAGCTTATCTGTGACCCGTGGTGAGACTGGGCTTTATGAGGGCTCTGTGCGTTCCAGCACATGAAGTTGGTTAAGGAAAGGGTTTTAGTGAAGTTCTTTTTTCCCAACTTGATGGCTACCTGGATTCTTTTTCAAACAAGTCCCAGGTAAGAGAAGTGCCTGTACAGGACTGATGGCAGTAAGATTTAAGCTCATGCATGTATTTACTTAAACTTTTCTCAAGTCAGACTGTGCAAAATCCTGTAGCAAAGGAAATGCATGCTTGAATAATGCAGATCTACAAGAGATTAATTTTTAATCATTAATTTCCTGCTACTGGCTAGGTAAGGGATATAAATTTTATGTGCCGTACATAAAGAGGATCACTAAGATACACATTCTTAGATTTATATGTGGGCAGATCAGAATTTACAAATGACAAGGCCCTTATAATGTTACATGGAGGAATTCTTTTGTCTGCAGTTTACTGTAAGCGTAGCCATGTGTATGGTAAAGATCGTAAAAGGGACCTGATTAAAATAAATTATATATCCCTTGAACTCTGAAGTCCCTTGTTTTAAAGTGAAGTGGTCACAAAGTACTTATTAAGTGGCCTTCCTTCAGCAAAGGGAAATCTCGCTCCACCTTCTAGTCATGCGAAATGTTACCCTCCTTTTTTTCCCAAAGGGCAGATGATATTTGTGCAGCATAGGCTGGTAGGTTTGTTTCCCAGCCAAAAATGGATTTTAGGATTTCCAGAGTCTTCACCATCTATCCCCAGATCTTCTTTCCCACATCTTCAGATTCTCTTAAAGTCGTTGTGCGTAACGGAACAGAACAGCTTCATCTCTGTAAGCAGAATGTGTCACTTGTGTTTCGGGCATGCAGATAGGTTAAACCCACGTCTGCACCGTCACTGCTCAATTTCCTGGCCTAAGTCAAGATGGTTAATCTTTAACATTGACACTCTGAGGCTCATGGATACAGGCTTTGGCTACTCATAGCACAGATATGTGATTCACCGATACAACATTAGGTTTAGGTTATGACTACAAAACATCAGCCCTTCCTCCCTCCAATACATTCTCCTGGCTGGAAGAAATTCCTCCCTCGTCACTGTGGTGCTCTCTGCCATTTGGTGCTGGCTGATACTTAGAGAGTTCTGTTTTATTTGTAGTTCCAAGAAAGGTCATACTTGGTTTGAGGGCTCTGCAGCTCTGCTTGCTGGATCAAAAATGTCGTAACCTTACGATGCAGAGTGCCAAATCAGTACAAGTCAATTTAGTTTTTAAAGGGATCTTTTCCTGGTAAGTAACCTGCTCATTTACAACAAGTAGCCTCTTTTTTAATAGTAGCTCTCAATTTTTTGAAGATGCCGAAATGATGCCCCACTCAATTTCTTCATGTCGTGTTATTTTTTTCTGAAGTTTGGAGACTAAAGCTCCTTCTGTTGGCTCTTCTTGTTTCTGTTATAGATGAAACATTTTATGTACTTCTGTAACGATACTGTTACCATTTTGATTTTATAAATTTCCTAACACCTGCTGAATGTGCTAAGTATGAGTAGATAATCATCAAGTTTGCATAATGTGGGATTATTTATCACAAGATAATCCTCATGGAAAACAACAGTCCTGTTTACAGGTGATTCAGCTTGGTCTTGGCTTTACTACCTTGTGGTTTTATGTGTTTTTTATTTTATGAGTCGTCATTTTACAGCATGTTTTGTGGAGAGGTAATTTGCAAAGTTAAATGAGCTGAGAGTGATGGTGAGTTAGGGAGGTTTTGGCGCCGGGATGGGCAGGAGTGGGAGGGCAGAGAGCACTGCTGGCAGCTGGGCAGGATTGGGTTCCCTTAGGTCCCCCTGCAAATCACCACCCCATTTGTTGTGCGCTAGGAGATCATCTGTTAATAACAGTGCCAAATTTGGGGGTGCTCCTTGAAGGTGATCAATGAACTCCATAACCAAAGGCAAAACTGAAGAATTTGTGAAACCCCAGTGGCTTCATTGGTGGGCAGAATTTGCTGTTCTTAGTTTCAAGTTTCAGAAAAGCTGATTATTCTGGGGAAATTAATGATGTGGTTGTGGTCGTTTAATAAGAGCAGTGCCATCGGAGGTCGTCTTTTGTGTTTTAAAATAAAGGAGTTGAATGCTTTTGCTTTGCAGTATTTCTGGTTTTCTTTGGCTGTTTGTATTGATCAGTCGGCCACCAGCTGCATTTTTTCTCGTGCACCAAGAATCTATGCTACGTGTAGCTGAAGCCATAGTTTGCTGGTACGTAGTGTGCGTATATTCATATCGCATATTTAGTGAAACACTGTTAGAGTAGCCACAGATCTTGTGGTCAAAAGTAAATGCCCATTTCATGTTTTCAGCTCCTCCTGGTGCCACCGCAAGATGCGTAACAGATTTTATTCTTATTTCTTCTTTCATTTTGTAGTAGCTTATCTAGAATTTCTGTTCTGAGGTTTGACTTCCTTCCAATATTGTCTATATATGCTTCCATTGTTCCAACAAACCAGCACTTTTCCTTTCCCATACTTAAAAATAAACCTTTGAATATAAGGAATGTGTTGGTCAAAATTAGTGATTTTTAACTATATGGGATTGATTAGTGAGTTGATGTTTCACGTAAGAATGCTAAATGCAATTCTAGGTAAATATAAACTAAAGCGTCCCATTATACATTTCCCTAAAACTGCTTTATTCAGAAGGGACTGCAGAGAAGATTTTTCACATTTTGTATTTGAGACTATTATATTTCTACTTTTCTTCAGGCAAGAGGTTTCTTAAGACTTTTTGGTGGTTAACTAGCATTGGTGAATTCACAGAAAGGACTAGGTTTCATTAACGGTCTTTGCTGAGGCCACATTAGTGCTTGCCAGAGCTTGACATAAATTATATTCAGCTGTCAATTTGGGAAATATTGCAGCCACCATAATGATTTAATATCCAGAGGAAGGCTGTCATGACTCTAGATCCAGAAACTTGTAAGATTTAGCTAGCTAGCACTTAGGGATCCTTCCCACTGCAAGTTACTAACTTTGGGCTGAAATAAATGTTAATTACATTTTATTTATATATTAAGCATATTGGCGAGAGGGAAGTGGAGAAGAAATAATGAGAGCAGACACAACAGCTATGAGGGCCAGAAGCTGGTGTCAATTATTAAGTGTGCCTGCCCCCTGCAATAAGGTGGGGACTTGTCAGGCGGAGGCTGAGCACTTGTGAGGCCTGTGTGTTTTGAGCCTGTGCCCTAGGGACGCTGGAGCTGCTGTGACTGTTTTGTTTCCCTTTGCAGCTCTGCCTCGCCTGAGCTCTTAATTCCTGCCTTGTTCCTTGCAGGAAATATTTTTTCCCCCCTTAATTTTCAACTGTTGTTCAAAAAAG